AGCCTAAATACTACCTCTGTCTGTAAGCTGTTTATAAAACTGTTTTTTGAGCCAGATGCTCAAGTAAATATTTCTGACAATGTTCAAAACTTCCACTGACAAATTAATAAACTGTACTGAAACTATAGGGTCTCAGAAAAAGCTCATAGAGGAACACATGCAGAATTATCTCAGAATCCTTCCAGAAAGCCATTTCAGATATGCTCTGCCTGGGCTTCCATCATCTGGAGCTCTGAAGGAAAACGCTGCGAAGGGAGCTGACAATGTGAGGTCTAAAGGCAGGGTGGCTGTGCAGTGTGGTTGCAGTCCATAATGAATTCAGCCAACGTGGGCAAAATGAAAGAGACAACTTGTCATCCACACTTGAAGGGATACTGTTGGCTCAAACAGTGTCTGAAAGCGCTGTGCTAAAAATGTCAAGGGAGCGGAAAGCCCAGAACTAACCCAACCCATCAGTTACATCACTACTGTTCCCTAGCCAGATGAGGTTACTCAACATTGGTGTAGAAAGTAAACGTTCCTCATAGCTGAAAAGGGTCAGACAATTGAGGGATGAAAAAGCCAGCACAGCCTGTCAATAAACTGGAAACTCTCAGTGTAATGCACGTGGTTAGTGGTGGGTGTGAATAACTCAAACAATGTCTACTTGAAGTTTTCCCAAATAGTGTCCATGGGAGAGTTAAAACAAAGGCAACCACGTGCAATCTGAGGTGCATGTTCACAGAAATTTGTCAATTGGATACTTTTGTTCAGTCCTGATAGAACTTCAGTTATTCTCCCACTGCTTTTGTTCTGAGCATGAACTGCTTCCTTCGATCGGAGGATTCAAACATTGTAGTAACATCTTTAGGTAATAGAGAAAGGGGAGAGAGTTGAGTATGGTTTTAGATTTCTCTGTAGTTGCCTTTAATGAAGACTTTGGCAGAGCATGCTTTCAAGTCTGGAAGGTAATTAATTTCTTTAAGTATGCTGAAATTGTTCACAAATTGTGTTTTAGCTGAGTAAGTTTTGTGATGGAATTGAGTTTTTCATCTGATGGTCTAATACTGGCCCAAATCAGAGGAATTAATGTGCAGACATTATACCTTTTTTTGAGTGTTTTTCAGTAATAAAGAAAAGCACTTAGGGAGAAAATCATAGAAGTAATACTTTCACAAATAGTTTTCAGGAGGTACAAAGGGAGAACTTGTGTGCTTGGATTTGACTGAACTTGACACCGCTCTTACTTGAAAAAGATGAGCAGTGACTGTTAACCACGGCCAAAGTTAACTGTGATTGCCAAAACTGCGGTCTTGCCAGTCATGGCTTCTGTAGTTTTTCTGTGAAGCTGCAAAAGAACTGGAGGGGGTTGGTGGTAGAGAATCCTCTGGTCCCCGCGTCCTCTACCCCCTTTCTGGCACCTGAGTAAAGCACGTCTCGCTGGCCCCTGCGGCTCGGCTTGCCACGCGAGTGGCCAATGCAAGACTTTCTAATTGCTCCCCCAAAATATCACTTTCACTGTGTCATCTGTTAATTACGTGCCTTTTTTGTTTGATCCGTCTCTAAGTTGGGTAAAGATTACAACCTTTCATAACTTTTGTGAAAACGTCAAGTGTCCCAGTGCATTGCGGCGTGCATGAAGCCATGTGTATGTGGCTAAAGAGGAACAGTGCCTGTTACATGGGGATTTGTTTTTCAGATAAGTATGTGTAGAAGGAAGAAAAGCTTTTAATAAAATGAGACATTTTGGGTCATCTGCTCAGATGAAAACCTGTTTTCCCGCTCTTACACAAAGGTAAAAGGGACCGGTGAGGGTCAGCGCTTTTTGGCAAAGTCTGTCTGCTGCTTTCATCTCCAGTACATAGTTAACCCCTGCTAGGGGAGTCAAAATTGAAGTTACAAAGGTAAAATACTGTTTCAAAATTATGAAGCTGAACCCAGCAAAAGAATTTACAAGAAAGATCAGTTATATTTAAGCCAAAGATTTACAAGTAGTTTAAAACAATCTGTGTTTGACATGGTAAGTTGTCTTTATCATTAAAATGCTAATGAAATGGTAAACATCTGTTAAATTTATGAAGATAATGAAGCCTGTCAGCTACATCTTTCTTGTGCCAGTAGTCCTACTTAGCTCAGGTCTGCATACAGATTTGGTGGAGTGATGGTGAGAATCTATTTGACTTTGGGAGCAATGCCAGTGCAAAGCTGTGTCCCGTCATGTTTGATTCTATGATTTTTGTCGTGAAGTGCTTCTACTTGTAGTTTAGGACATCTTTACCTGATCATTCTTCCAGAGGCTTTCAAAGGTGAGTCTGAAAATCAAACTTCAGTCAGACAGGGTCCCTGGTATTTCATTGGCAATAGACAAAGTAGTAAACTGGCAAACAGAAGTGAATGAATTTCTTATTATTAAAGCCTCAACTAATCAGCCTGGCAGGTTTGTACATTTTCTATTCTGGACAGACTCCAAATGTGTCCTGGTCTGCAGGGCCTATATTACTTTGGCAGCAGAAACACCAGTGACTGCAAAACTGCAGGCAGATTTGAAATGTCTTTGTCACCTGAAATGATCTGTACTCAGCCAAGGAGTACAAAGAAGATTGCATTGTTTGCAGAAGGATGCAAATTGTTTTTTAAAACTTTTATACCAAATGCTTTCTATACCTTAGTTAAAGACGGCATCAGAAACCTAGCTTAACTCTGATTTTAAATGTCAGTCACAGTTTAACTCTATTCCATTCTGTTTTTTCTGTAAAACTTAGTTAAAATATGTAACCATAGCTTCATTAAAGTATGTATAGGTAAAGAGAGTACAGGTCTTTTTTAACTTCATGGATCTTTAATTGCTTATGAACTTCAAAGAGAAAGTTGTAGAAGTTAGATTGATGATGGCACTTTATGGGCTTTAGGTAATTGAATACAACATAGTTGCTGTTTGAATACAACTCTGAAATCCAAATTATGTAAATCTACTGTTTTAGAACTAGCTAGTAGAAATAATCGTTTTTGCAGTTGAAGGTACTTTCTTTGGATAAGTCCTCTGACACACTGCTTTCCTGTTGAGGCATTTTTTTCATTAGGGGTGTGAAGAAGAAACTATAGGCATGTTAGCTTTTAGCTTTTTGATATTTGTGACTCTAGTTAACTAAGCATTGACTTACCGTTAGTTAAGCACAACTGTCAATGAGTTTCATGGGCTTATGCAGAAACAAACCTGACATTTATGAAAGTATTGGGGTAGGAGAAGGGAGAAAATATTCTGCAAAAGTGTCTCAAGCATATTTTTCATTTCAGGTTGTACAGTTCAGTTGGGTTGGTGTTAAACAGTTCTCTCTCTGTAGTTGTCAATGACCCATCTCTGTGCAATCATCACACTTTTCCTATAGAAAAAACAGAGAGCAGATTATAGTCTGCTATTCATCTGCTACACCATAACATAATGTTTACTGTGCTGCAGCTGTGATCAAAATGACTGTCTCTCCAGCACCTACAAAATTTGAGCTCAGGGCTAATTATAAGTGTTTGGTCATCCAAAAATCCATGCAACCCCATCTGGCTTCTGAACTCAGCATTCCTCTTGGATACCATAAGATGGGTTTGAAATTGTGTGCGTGGAGGCAGGATGATGAGATGAAAAGGAGGAAAATTTCTACTCTGCCTTCAATTTTGTGTATCCTTAACAGGGAGAAAGGGATATCCCTTAATGGAAGACTAGTACTCAGGCAGCCCCTATGGATTGCCTTGCATCTTGCAAGTAGATGCAAATGATTTGACTTTATGGGAGAAGAGAGAGAAAATTGGTTGTTTACATTTCTCTCCCCCCCGCCCCCCCCCTCCTGACTGGGTTTAAAAAGTTCAGATGACTTCTATGAGAAGAAGCTTAGGTACTGCGTCAGCTCTGCTTGAGACCAGAGAAACTCCTAAGAGGACTGTTATGCTCCCGGCTGGTGTGCTGTCCACCAGTGAATGGGAGGAGGAGGAGGTAATTACGGAGAAATTCTGGCAGAGGTAGGAGAGGCAGAGTGTGACTCAGTCTCCTTTACAGGTGTGGGGCACTTGTGTCCCTGTGCCTGCTCCAGTCGGTGTTGAATTATTTATTCAACCCAGGAAGGAGAAACTGAGTTTAGTAGTATTTTTTTCACTTTTTATATCAATAAAGGAAATTTGATTTGAAATGTATTTTGTATAATTTCAGGGAAAAAAAATATTCCCACAGTCATAGCTGGAAGCTGTGTACTAGACACAGTATTGTGTGAACAGAGCAGATAGCTACTTACAAATGAATATTTGGACATCTGTGCCTTCCCATTCCTTTAGGGTCTTGCTGGGGAATGATTCTCAAGTGTATACAGAAAGAATTTCAGCATGTAGATTTCTGGAAAGCTCTTGTTTGGAGACAAACACCTGGGCTCCAATTAAGAAAATGCTAGTTTACATTGCATATAAAGAGTTGTGTTCGTTTATGTCCTAGCTGATTATTTAATTGTTGGCTGTTTTCTAATATTTATCTTGCACTGTAAAACAAAAGGCATTTTTTTAAATGTTAGGTGAAGTGGTGTTTGTGTAGCACCTGATAGTTACTGTCAGAAGAGGAAAAAATAACACGCAGCTCACTATTTGGAAGCAAACCTCTGGATTTCAGCTTGCATGTGTTATCTGTGCTCGCTGATCTAATAGGCAACCATGAATTGCAAAAGCATCGGACTTTCATGGGCGCCCATTCTGGCCTTTTTGGCACAAAAGAATTTTTCCGCTTTAGAAAGGATTTATTTTACCTGCTACTGTGATTTATATACCATATGTCTCCTCTTCAGCATCTAAGTATACATGGCCATAGAGAAGTGCTTGGCCTCATCGGTAGTGTGTGGAAATAGATTTCTTTTAATGATATTAACTCCTACAGAGCCACTTTATTACCTGCCTGTGTTGTTTTTTCTTGGCGGTTGTGTCAGCTATACTGTGTGTGATGTGGAAAGGAGAATACTATGAATTCCTGGTTTTGTTTGCTCTTGGCAGGCACTACTACACTTCCCACCCTTGTGCGCACACCTACCTTGATGATGCAGCCTTCCCTGGATATCAAACCCTTTATGTCCTTCCCTGTGGACAGCAGCTCTGCTGTTGGATTCTTCCCAAATTTTAACACAGTAAGTAAAGGTGTTTCCACATTTAGTGTCAGTGTATGCTTTCCAAGCTGGTTCCGATACTCAGTGTTGAAGCAGCCTTAAAACAATACATTGCTGACACAATTCTAGAAAACCCCTTTTGTCTGTGCTGTGGTGGTTGCTGTTCCCTTATGCAAAAGGCTTGGAGCGGTACCCAGTCTTCTCACTGTGAACGGGGCTGATCCTTTTTTGACTTGGTCTGTTGGAGTGGTGTTTGCACACTGAAAAAAAAAACCCCACGATAGAGATTTGAAAAGCGATAGAATAATTTTGAGCATTTGCCTGGGCATGAGCATTTCCATGTGCTGTAAAAAAGGAAAAAGCAAAAGCTGATGGAAAAACAGGTATGACAGATAAGACCTAGATCCTCCACTGATGCGACTCAAGCTAAGTCTATTACAGCCAGTAAAGCAACTGGAGGATCTTCTTTATTCTGTATAACAATAATAGTCTAAAATTGCGCAACCAGCTAATGTGAAAAATGTGAACCTGCTACTTTTAGTTTATAGTAAAGCATCTTGGGTTTTTGCAAAAAAAAAATTATTGCCAAAATAATGCTCAATGCTTCTGTAGTTCTCCATGTTTATCAGAGCAGCGGTAACAAAAATACTCTCTTCTGTAGTTCTCACTTCTTTAACAGCTCATAAAATGGTTTTGAATGTTATCAAAATGTTTTTTTGATATTGCACTTTATCATTTCTTTAATTAATTATTATATTAAATGCATTGAGTACACCAAACCCCATATTTTGCATGTTGCCACTCAGGTTTCCATGTGTGGAGGTAATTCGTCATGGAACGAGTTGGCAAATAGTGAGCTAATAGCAGCAGGAAGGAAACTGCTCTGGGTCATTTGTGCCAAGTCAGTGAGTACGATCTGTTCGTATGTGACCCTTGCCTGAACTGTACAGCGTCACATTTGTCACAGTAATTGCAGAGGGGGATGGAAAGGGAAGCAGTGTCATCACTGCCACACAGCGATCGGCTGAACCACTGCCAAGTGTTTCCTTTCCCAAACTCACCTTCTGTCTGAAGTTAAAACAGCAAGAGGTTTTTTTTCTTCATGACTTGCAAATACATCTTGCTGACAGGCCTTGTGCTACAGTGCGTGGTGCTGTGGGATGATTATGAGGTAACATATCAGCCAGCTTCTTTCAAATGTCAGCAGCCCAACGTATATTATAAACAGTGGCAAATACCACTAATTCATTGCAAAATATATATGTGAAAATTGTGCATTTATGAGGGAGATGTGTGGATGTGCATGTGTATAGATTGGGGGGGCACATGCGTATGCATATGTACAAAGAGATAAAAGATTTTTTAAAATCCACGTATGTTTAAAGTGCAGGACTAAAATAATACAATTTTAAGAAAGCAGTGTGTCATTCTCATCTTCTAGGGATGATGCAGTTAGTATTCATTTTCCGTCCTCTTTCTAATCCATTCAGGAATTTTATTTGTTAGTGATTTGTCTGCTTTCCGGTTGCACTGGTTTTATAGGTAAGCTTTTTCACAGAACTGTACATGAAGATTCAGAGAACCTTTTCTTTAGGGATGCTGTAGTTGTAAAGTCAACCAACGTTATTTGCTTACTGGTGGTATTGAATTTCTGAGTTGCAGTAGCCTCTAGAGACAGATTAATTTGGATATTTAGTCTGTTTTTGCCTGTGTACACAGGCTTACATTTATCTGGGTTACATTCTGTTTGCCTGATTCCTGGAGTGTTTATCCTTCACACCTGTCATTCCTCTCCAAACTTCTATGGATTTTATTAAAAAAAAAGAGGCCTGGGGTAATCGGCAAATATTGTCGACTCAGTGTCTGCTTCCTCCCTTGGAATTCTTGATAATTATATAAAATCATGCTGCTGTGCACCACAGACACTGCATGCTTAAACTCTCTTTTTTGAGGAACAGTGGTTCAGTACTACTCTATTTCTAATTCACAGACTTTGCCATTTATCTTGCAGGTATTGATTTTCCCTAACAGTCTTTTACAATGGACTTTAAAGCTCATTGGAAAACTAAATCATTCATGGTTATCTATTGAGAGGCACAGTGAACGCCAGCTGTCATACACTTCCTTTCTTTCTAACTTAGCACAACCTTTGCAAATGAAGATTTCTATGTTTGTGTACATATTATCTTTTTTTTCTTTTTCACTGCAAAAAGGGGGGGGGGGGGACACGACACATGACACACGACACTTTGTAAAAGTTTGTAAAAAGCATTTTTCCAGAAGATAATTTTGAGTCAGTCAAAGCTAAATCTAGTTGATCCATAATGTATGCTTCATCCAAAGTTCCATAATTTTTCATCTTGTGCAGGAACAGAATATTAGAAGAGCTTTTTGTACCTTCCTCCCAAAAAAGCCATCATTTGCCTTGTGGATCAATCAGGAAATCTATACACTTCACTCACAAGAGGACTTGTCAAAAACTGTAGACAGTGAAACCACCAGTGTGCAGCACTCAAACTCTTTGCCTTCGGTAGGACTGAGGAGACGCTGCAGCACATGCCAGGGCTGCTGTTAACGCTTGCATGTGTTCACTGAAGGTGGCAAAATGAAATGTGGTCTCAAGAGGAAACTTCTTTGGACCCACCTATTCATTTTCCATGGCAGTCGGATATAGAAACGTTTTTCTAAACCTTGCCAGGAGATGGTTTCTAAATTAATTTCAGTGGCCTGGAAAAGAAAAGTTTCTGCTTAGGAGCTTGATACGGTAACTATCAGGGCAGGAAAAACAAGATAAAATATATTAACTTACAAACATGTTTAAAGGAACACCCCCTACAGTGTTTCCAAAAGAACTTCTCTTATTTATGAAAATATATGTAAAATCTGGGATAAACCCTTTCTTATATAGTTAACTTTCACAGTTTTCAGTTCTGAAAATGTCTGTGGTGCTCCAGATGAAACATCAGTGTTCCCATTTCATTTGTGAAAGTGTTCTGATCACTTGCTTCTCTCCACATGGGATACTTTCAAATGGAGCACTGAGCAGACCCTGATTTTTTTTAGAAGAAATGCCTACCCCAAGTGTGTCTTATTTTCTTGATGGGATTTTGTGATTTAGTTTAAAATAACTCCCTTCTGTTTCTCCTAAAAAATTAATAGTTCTAAAAATGCTGTGGACACATATATAGTACTTATCAGTTCACGCCCCAATTAAATTTGTCTTTGTTCCTTTGGACTTGCTTATTATATAGGAAAAATTAATCAGGGAACGATTGCCCTAGTCCCTTGGATACATGCTTTTATTCCTCAGTAAGCATGCCTTTTTCTTTCAACAGATCAGCCAGAAAGGGATCTTCTAAGGGCAGAATGAAGGATTCAGAGCAGAGAGGTATTGCAGAATCGGTGCTCTCTTCTTTCCTGGTCTTTTCACAGCACCAGCAAATAGTTTTGTGAGAACAGGACAGGCATGATCAGACTGTCACAGCCTGAACCTGGGTTGCTGCACAGAAGGACAACCCCTCTCTCAGAAGTGCTGCAGCAATGGATCCAAAGGTGACATCATGTTTGTCCTGGCATCAAGTTCTAAAAGCTCTTGCTCAGTTACTTATACCTCTGTGTCTGAAATGCATAGCTTGAATCAAATTCTCGGCTGGTATTACTTAGTGTTCTTGTTTATAGCAGAATGGGAGACAGCATTATAAGAACTTCCCAAACTGGTACCTGCAATTTGGAATGGGTGTGTACAAAAAGGGATTGTTTGCAGAGCTCCTTTTTAGCACCATAAAATGACTCTAATGATTCCTTAACTTGTAACATCTTGCATATTGATTACATTTAAAGATCTGTAAGACTTCAAAGTCAAGTGCATAAAGTCAGTGAAAATGAAAGTTAAGATTACTGTGGTCCCCATTTTGTGTTTATCATAATGTAATCTTGAATTTTGCACTCACTAGCTTCTACTACACAGCTTCACCTTCTGTACCATTCTTTCTCTGCACCTCCCTGATTCTTTGTCTCATGTCATCCATCTTGTGTACCGAATGAAGAAGGGATGCTTTGTGATCACATCATGGAAGGTTATCATGATGCATGCACTGTGGCTGAAAGCCAGGATTTATCTTGCAAGGCAAACTTAATGATCACTGTCTGCATCTCTCTATAAAGGATGTATGTTCCCCAGAAAAAAAAATCTCAAAACTCTGACGTGTTCTATCTTGTCCTGAAATGAGAACAGCACTACATGATTCAAATTTAGTCAAAGTGGTATAGCCAGGGACCCGTCAGTCTGCACAAAAGCAGTATCAGCAACTTCTCAGATTCTGTCATCTTAGAAAATAATCAGCAATACATATGCTTCTTTCTGAGTTTGTCATGGCCTCAGGGGTAATCAAAGATTATAGCATCTCTTGTAGCTTTCACATTAGTGAAATATTTTCTATCTAACTAGCCCATGATTGGTTTCTAAATGTTGGTTCCTACCTTCATATTTTAGAGGACACACAGGTTAATGTGGCCTAGTTACTGCTTCAGTGTCTATTTCTCTTCAAGTAGGTTTATGCTGATTCTTTGTATTATAGTTCCCTCAGTCCCCTTGTGAAGTGGACCAGAAGTATTTTACATCTGCCAGTGAAGGTGAGCCAGCTGGAATGGGCTACAGGAAGGGACAGAGGCGCTGAC